CTTTCAGTTTTCCCTCCCGTTTTTCAGCTTGCTCTACTTTGGCTTGATGGTAGGTAGCAGTTGTATTTTTACCCACCTCCTTACAACTTCTGTCCATTTCCCTGGGTCACTCTTTGGGCTTGTGATTGCGTCTACTTTCTCTTTGGGGGTCACAGTTTTTTTGGTGATCCTCTGGCTTCTTCCCGGGCATGCCTTAGACAAATGGCCAGCTGTCCCACACGCACAACAGGCTGGTTTTCTTCTACTACGTAGATAGGCTGGCCTACACACATTAGAATATTCGGAATGTCGCCGAAATTCTTCCTGTCTACTGTTACGTATATATTGACATCACCAGTAGTAATGCCGGTTTTTCATTTTACGGCTGATACCTCTTTTACGGCTGCTTCACCGAACTGGGAGAAAAAATACCCTAAATGGTCGTCTGTAATGAACAATGGTACGCCATGCAACGTCACTTTTGTTTTATGTCGACCCATATATTCACTTTTTGTTCACTGACTTAGTGATGAGTACATTGCCAACCAGAGCCTTTGCTGCTTCTACCGTTGGGAGTAAAATATCCCGCATTGCTACGACGCGCTAACACTCTTGCAGAAATATTCAGGGTTTTCAGCGCCTCTTCCATAAGATCCGTGTTGACACTGTTATAGACAAGCGTATGGTTGCAAGAAAGAAATACAACAGCAGAAATAGATTTACGTGATTTATTTCAATAGGAACGTGTGGTTTTGGGACAGCTACCTTGTGGTATAGTTCATAGACCGGCTGAAGATCTGGGTTGATCTCTCATAGTAGTTCTCGCTGGTTGGCGTGGCGCTACTGCTGCTGGCTGCTGCTGACCGTGAGAGGTCTCTTCCCTGGCCTCCTGTTGACTGCCCGTTGTACTTCCGTGTGACCCCTTTTATGGTGTTTTTTATGGCTTAACAGGCTCAAAAAACGATGCGAGTATAATTAGGAGGGAAGCATTTTTATTGGTCGAAAAATAGAAACACTTTAAAATATTATTTTATTTTTTCGACCGGAACTCGTGCGTAAACGCGTAAATATGGTCATTTTGTGACGGGGCCTTGTCCCATTCACATCCGGCTCTCGCTCTTGAGTATGTTAGTTTATTTGCCTGCAAATCAGCTGAGATATGTCTTATTTTATTTTATAACAACACCTTTATAAGCTTCCGAGTCTTAACGTCGGATACTGTTTTGGTGTTCACCGCTTCCAACAGCGTCGGTATTGGTAACAGTTCATTACCGGTGACAAAGTCACCATACTTTTCCTTCAGGCACGTATAATATTCGAGGCCTTTTTTGGAGGTATATCTTCCATCCAAACTGGGCATTTTCCACTGCGGGTGCCGCGTCGACAGGCTGGGACAGCGCCATAACGTCGGTCACAAACAAAAACGAGTTTTCAAAAACAGGCCAAAAAATACTTCACAATGCAACAATAAAACAAGTTCAACGATTGACGACAAAAATCCAACACTTACTTATTAAAATCTTCACTTGATGTAAAGACAGGGTAAAAAATAAAAAATAGAGGGAAAAAAAAACTTAGTCGCGTCGAGCGCTCACCCTCTCTCAAACAGTGGACTTTATAGGTACTTACTACCTATAGCGTAATCATTCATGGGGGTGACTGGTTATTCTATTACAAGGTCTCAGTATATAACGTAAACAAGGATCTGGTAAATTATTGTATTATTTAAGTCACTGTTTTTCATTTTCAACAACTGAAATAAGTACATGAGCACAAACACACGCCCACATATATGTTCAAAACTTCGCTAAAAAAGAGATGAAAAAAAGGATACAAACTTGATTAAACAATTTTTTTATCGTCTAAAAATGTTTATGCTATTATTAAGAGGAAAGACCAAAGTATTTTTTATTAAAAAAAAAAAAATTAAACCTTTCTTCCGAAATTTTACGTAAATGTTGACGTAAAAATCAGCAATAAAATGCATGTTAAAATTAAGAAAATGTCAACACTGCATCCCTTTTAATTTTAAACGAAGACAGGAGCACATTCACGGAATTCCAATTATCAATTCTGACGATAGTTGCTTTATATTTAGGTGCTATGTAATCAAATATCAACTCCAGATCAAGTAAGTATGTATGTGAAACTAACTTATAACACTTTTGAATAGCATCGAATAGATTTTGTTCTTACTAGCTAAAGGGAAGCTACTCATAGTTTTTAAAAACAGTAAGTTCCTTTTAGCAAAAAAGATTTTTTTTAATTTGCAAAATTGATTATGTTAGTAGACAGACACGAAATAATGCGAAGATAATTTACACGTACCTGATATATTTTTTAATTTAATAGATAAAAGAATTGTTATCCTATATTTCCACTATACTTACAATAAATATATTTTTCAATATCATATATTACATAACCAATGTCCAGAACATCATGCCGTCAAAAAAAATTAATACATTCCAGAAAAAAAAAAGCTTTTATCATCTGGGATAATTTCCTTTAAACTAATTTTATTCACAAGTAATTTTATTTTTTATTAAGTAGTAATAACACCATACGAAAATACACACTTTCCTTTTTACTAAGTGAGTGACAAAGAAAACTCACTCTCCTTCTCTTCTACATATTTCCTTTCCTTTCCTTTCTTCTATTGTTCCTATCCTCGGTAACGAACATGAACCCAGACTTAGTTTATGTGGGTCAGTGAACGTCATAAAAAAATCAACCTATGACAACACGTCCCGCCAAAAATCAAACGGGAAACACGGATGTCTCAGCCCCAATAAAAAGAAGAAAACCACGTACGAGACTAGAGACGTCGCAGTGGAGAGAAACTTGATTCGAGGTAACAGTTCTAAACGCAAGGGTTGGTGATTCATCGGCTGTGTACAACTCCAGAAGATAAAGGATGAATGCAACGAATTAATTTCCGTCAACCAGAAGGAATACAACAACCCTGTATGAACTCTCAAATCACAAAAAAGAACTATTACGATAGTCAACCATTTTAAACATTGTAACCAAATGGAGTCAATAATTAATGGTACTGTAGCGACGGGGTTACCAATATTGTAGCAGGTTTCACCATTATGTAAGGTTGGACGCAATTCAATTTATATTTGACGTAACTAGCACATAGTATAAAATACAAAACAGAATGTAATGATTTCAAAACATAACAATTGAATTTATTAAGTATTTGATGTACATGCATGTGAACTGAAAAGGTTAGACAGAGTTGTGTCTCTTAGACTAGGTAATATTTGTACCTAATCTCATAAAGAATAAATTGATTATTAAACTGTAGAAGAATGAGTTGTTGCATGTTTGAAATTGTGTATTGTACAAGTTGGTAAAAGTTACGAATTATACTTGCATGAATTGTTGTAAAGTTCTTTTACGTCTGACTGCATTAGTCAAGACGGGAGTTCTTTAAAAGTCACATTTTAGCAGCGGAGTTGAGACGCACAAGTGACGAAGAGAACGAGCGAGTCGAGAGGAGAAGTTGAAGAGAGAGAGAAACACTCGTGTTTAGTTTTTTATAATTTTGTTGTACCACGTGACAGGCTCCGACAGAGTTGGCGCGAAAATAGATCTGTCGCGTGGGGTTGATTTGATTGGTCGAAACTGACCAATCAGCAAGCTAGACTGAAGGTGATTAACCAATGAATGCTTGTTATATATTTTGTAAGATGGTGGTGGTAAAAGTCACAACAGGAATAGTGCATTTCCTAGCAGGGGTTAACTGGCTGTTGTGGAAGATTCCACAGTACTATAGACAGTAAATTTAGCCTTTACTTCATCTCTATATACCATACACCACAGTAATAGCGGCGTCAAGAGAAACCCCGTCCTTTTGATACACCGTTTTTTCCGGATCCGAAGGTTAAACTATCCTTCCCCCCCTCAAAAAAAAAGAATATATTTGGTAAAAAACATTAACATTGAAATTTGTAGAAAATCCCCTTCAATGTAGTAAAATAAACGGAAAAGAACATTACATTTGATAAAAATAAATGATAAATAAAAAAATCGATGTTCGAATTATTAATTTCTACATGCCAAACAAGCTATAATCTTTTCCAGCCATTTAGGCAATGATCAAATTGCCGTAATTTCCTTTTTCCTGAGTTTAACCTGACAGTATCAAATTGAAAGATAATTCTTTCTTTACTTTTTCATTTTTAACGCACTTCATTTCAGTCTTAGATTCTTTAATTTTCAGATTTCTTATCGCTAGTAACATTTTCGAACGGTTAATGATGCTTGCCACTATTATTACTCTGCTATGAGTGAATTAAATTTATCACGAACCATGATAGTTTGGAAAATGTATGCAGAGAAAGCCCAATATTACATAATTTTTTAGTCATTATTTTCTTTAAAATTAAAGTTTCAGTAAAAATAAGATACGCCACGGAAAAATGGTAAAAAAATAAAACAATAAGACTAAGAGATTCTAAAAAAATGTGTGTGATCTTAAATTAAATAAGTACTTTACAAATGGTTGTCTACTGCTTCAAACAGTATTGCTGTTCTAGATCCGTAGATTAATTATTAGAGTAGTGAATTCGATCCTCACTACATACATGTGGCATTGTGTCAAATCTAAGCTCCGCTTCTTAAATTACATAAGGATATACAATACATTGCTGTTTGAAGTCACTAAAGTGATAAAATAAAACAAAAGAGGGACATTCAACTAAATAAACTTCATTTATATTAGATATTTATTAATAATATTATTGTCATTCTTATAAACATTTATATTCCCCAATCTAGAACTAGATTTAAGCAATATCCATATTGGTTATATCCCTATTAAGCATCCGTAGCAAAATAAAAAAAATAGAAGAATGATTGTTTGATTGGTTGAAGTATGATTTCTACTTCCGGTATATACGTGTAACAACACGGTGCGTCCAATAGAGGAGTTTGTTGGATTAACGAAAGTATCCGTTGACATTCGCGTATCCTGAAAAAGGCGAAAGTGCACGCATAAAATAGCAGCTATGTCTAAATACAAAGACAAGCAGGAAGGTAAAGAACTTGACTTAAGTTTGTGTAATTTGACTAACGTGAGTGTAAGAGACATCGCCCTTATACCAAAGGCCACGTCACTGAATTTGTCCTACAACAAACTTATATGCCTTCCCAGCAATTTCCCTTCGCTTACTCAGATTATTCGTTTGGACCTTAGCAACAACAGTCTCACCGAACTGCCACCAGATTTCGGATCCCTTGTCAACTTGCAGCACCTTGATTTACTCAATAACCAACTAAAAATGTTACCGATTAGTTTCGGAGATCTTCCCAAACTCAAGTGGTTAGACGTAAAAGGTAACCCATTGGAGCCTGCTCTTGCTGAAGCTGCTGGCGACTGTCTAAACGAGGCAGAATGCCGACGATGTGCCAGTGAAATGCTGATCTATATGAAACAAATTCAGGTGGAAGTGCGCAAAAAACAACAGGAAAATGCCCGAAAACAACAGGTTAAAGCTGCAGCCCGCGAGGCCCTAAAAAAACGCAAACAAAAAGCTGAGAAAATGGTTGAAAAGGAAAGACGTCGCAAAGAATACGAAAGTAAATTAGCGGCCGCTGCTGCAGAGAAGACAAAATATTTAAAAAAAGCAAACAACGCTTCTAAGACAGACTCCACTAAAAATGTAGACAACTCCACAACATCGAATATTATTCATGCTGAAAATAATTTTTCTAAATCTTTCGAATCTAATTTGAAACCTAAATCACAACGATCAGCTCGAAAATCTACTACAAATAACAATAATAATGATGCCATCACCAACAAAAAAGATACTAGTCGAACGAAAACTTGGTGTGGGTTGTTCGCGATGTCGTTGTGTTTTGTTGTGGTTATCATAGCAGTGATTATTGGGTTAAATTTCGGTGCGGATAGTAAACTTTTTTTACAAATCCAACAAAAGGCTCAACACTTAATTACGGCTGCGAAGAAAATGACAAAAATTTAAAAAGGGTTGTTTTTTAAAATTCGTATTGACAAAAAAAAACACACTCACACAAACGAAATCTTCCATAAAGAAAAACAAACTATTCAAAGCCACTTCATTTAATAATTTTTTTTAACTTCATCGAGATTACAAATCCCACACTTTTTTTTTCTTGAATAACACTCACAGCAATTATTTTATTTTTTCAAAAATGCAATGTAGCCGGCGAAGGTGAAATAGAATTTGTTTTTTTGTTTTTCTTTTGTTTTTTTAGCATCGAGGAAAATTTTGTTGAAATGAAAGTAAAGAAAATACTCGCAGTTAGATGATGTAGGTGTCCTCTTAAAAGATAAATGATATTTTGTATTCTCGTCGTTCCAATGAATTATTCTCGAAACTACTTAATGGATTGACATGATAAAAGCTGCTTCAGTCAACATTTACTTTTAGTTTTACTGAATAATGTCTTTTTACATCAAGGCTTATCCATGTATTTGCCTGTAGTGTTGGGCTACTGGCAAATTTTGAACTTTAACCTCTCTCCAAACACCCAGACTAAGTAAAAGGTATGCACACTTTATCAGATATGTTGAACAATTGAGATAATGTATTAACTGTATTACTTAAACATAAATATGCAATGCTTTTAAATCTTTTATTAAATTACAAATACTTAAATTAAAAATAAATATCAATTATTTGTAATTTATGCTTTATTTTTTGCCATATCTAGTCTGGTGCACCTGCTGTTCATCTCTAGGTTCTTGACAAAATCCAAAGAAAGATCTGCAATGTAATCGATCCTGACTTACCATTTCTACTTCAGTCACTTTCTCACAGATGTGATGAAGCTTTTCTACAAATATTTTCATGGCAACTGCTCTGACAAGCTTTTTTCCCTAGTGCTCTGACTACATGAAATTTAGCATGCTACTAGATTGGCATCTAGGTCCCACTCTTTTACTGTTGAAATAGCTAAATGCTACTGCCACTTCTATTCTAACAGTTTCTTTACTTGCAGTTCCTGACAGTGGAACATCCTTCCACTTACTTGCTTCTTCAAAAATTTAAATGCAATGTCAATCACCATCTTCTGTGGTCTTCTGCCTTGTTCATCTTTTATCTTTTCTTCAATCCTCCCTATACCCAGTCTTTTCACTCTCTCTAACCCCATGCATACTAGTGACTATCCAGCCTTGCTTGGGGTGAAATGATTTAAAAAAAAAAAAAAAAAATTTTAAATCTGAAAAAGAATTGTAAAGTTATGGACTGATAAAGTGTGCTTATTTTGCTAGCAGCCACCTTGTGAGTGGGGATATTTCAGAGCTTTAATTTTTAGTTCATTAGAAAACAAATATAATGATCTATATAAATTAGACAGCATTTTTCAATATAGTTAAAAAATTCTTTAAAAAATTACATGTATTTGCTATGGGTATTAATGAATTAATTTATTAACCTTAATTCGGATGAGAAGGCATTGTAAACTTAATTCCAGTGAAGTTTATCTTGACTTAATTTGGCATTTTCATGAAATGGAAAAAATTATTTTTTAAAAAGTTTGCCATTCATTAAATCCAAATGATTTGATAATTATTTCTTTGGTTTTGACAAAGTTGCTACATTTTTACACATCCCTGGCCTAATATGGCTTGATGGTTACTTATTAAATATTATATATTCATTGTCAAGAAACATAAAAACAAAATAGTATATTTTGTATCTTATTTGTTCCTAGTAATGGAACATAGAAAAAAATTTTTTTTTAAATTGACAATCCTTAATATACTTAATTTTATGTTTAAAAATACATTGATTTTTTGGTATTGTTCAGGTTGTCTTTAATATTTATCAGTATATAAAGATACTTTTCATTTTGTTTGATATCGACTACAACTTTATGGTTCCACGTTAACCATATTTTTGAGATTATCATATATTTGTCATTTAACAACCTATTTTACTAAAATTTGGTTGTTTTTTTTTTCTCTCTAATGTAAATTTTAGAGGATAGTTTTTCTTCTCTTTTTTTTTTCTTCTCAGAAAATGTTTTGTTTTTTAAGACCAGACTTTGCAATTGTCTAGATTGCACTAAGCTACAAAGTTAATTTCATTTCCTATCAAAAAGTATTATTTCTATTGGAATGTATTTGCAGAAATCTTAATTTCACTTCATGCAATATAATAAATATTTGTATGTGTTTTTTTTTGTTTTTTTTCGTTTTTTTTTGTTTTTCTTACCACAAATACTTTGTATTCATGTTTCTTTAAAAAAAAAAAAAAAAAGTTTCAAGCTACAATTATTCTTGACCCAAAACTTTATCATTTTAATTTTTTTCTTTTAAATCAGATATGAATGTTCATTATTACTTTTTGTAAATTGAAGCATTCCACTATTTTTGTGTTTGTTCTTCTCTCCTTTTAAAATAAATCTAGAACTGATTCAGTCATCAATACTTACTCTTTTTTTGTGTCCAAACTGTTGACATAGTTCTAATTAGGAATAGTTATTTATTCGTACTTATGTACAAAATGTGGCACAAGGCTAAAAGGGGGATTGGGGAAGGACGGTCTTCTTCTGTCTTAATTCTAAACTTAGCTAGTCACAAACACTGACCCAAACATATCAACAATACTCCTATCACCAAAACAACACATTCTCTCCTAACTTTCTTACTACATCCACCATAATACCTCAATGTCTCTATGAAATCCTATAAATATAGTCCCCATATGTACGTTTCGAAGTCTGTGGGGGGAGGGGAATAAAAACAACAATTTAAAAAAACCCAATGATTATTTACAATATGAATTAAATACTATTTACATTAAAACAAAACAAAATAGGCTTAGTAATAAAAAACCCCAAAATACCTAAATGTGGCAGAAACATCAGTTAACTGGACGAAAAAGTTACGGGATTATAATATTATAAAAACAATCATCAATCCAAACAGCACTCACACAAACATGCACTCATTTAGACACAACAAATATGAAAACACACACGCGAAATGAAAGGCATCCCACAACTACCAGAGAACTGACATCACTGACCACCTAAAAGAGGGTAGGGGATGGGGAATTAAACTAAAGAAAAATAGGGACAGAAATAAAAGGGGGCCAATGAGCATACATACCCTAGCTAAGTTAACCGGAAAACGGGCTAAAGATTCAAACTGAAACCTAAACTAGCCTAATATCGCAAAGCTTTTTGGTAACCCAGAGGGCCCCACACTTCACCAGCCAGGTAAGGGATGCCTCATCATTATTGAGACATTCCAACCCGGGAGCCCAAGGCCAGATCGAGCGAGCCTCCTGCTTCATCAGACCGAGCTCATCAATCAGATCATCATGAACGGACCCCCTAACTAACACATGATATAATGCCCTACGAGACAACACCTGGACGTTGGAGAGGCCATCCGACGCCCATAAGAGGTGTTTCAGAGCAAGATGACATTCATAGTAGAAGGAGCATTCAGCTCGGGTTAAACGGTGGGCCTCCTCCGCATGAGTGCACACTTCTCAAGGATGGGAAATTTCTACGGGTGTCTTCCTTCCAGAAGGCGCCCTCCTCATCCATCGACACAAACGATCTAGGAACCCGATGCGAAGCATATCGAGACGAATCTCAATGCTAGGCATACCTAGACTGCCTTCAGATGGATGAAGGCAACAGATCTCCCGAGAACCTTACTAATAATATTAGTGTGGCATACGGAGGTGGAAGTACCAAGAGTCGGTAAAGGAGAATCGGGTAGATATGTGAAAAACATAGTTCTGATTAGGATAGTCCTTTGGATAATGTACATCCACATTATATAATGATCTTAAATGGTCCCTTCCAATAGTATATGGACTAAAATACTTTTACCAAAAAGCACACATGACCACTTCTGGTTGTCAACTTTCTCTCATTCAAACACACATATATAAAAACACACATACTGGTTGCTCTGAAAGTAATGCATCATGTTTGATGTCATATGTGGATGTTTCTGGAATGACAATGCAGGCTAAACCTTTGCACAAATAAACCATATTTTTATGCTTTTTATAAATAGCAGCTGAGCTGCAGTGTGACAAAATGGTTTCTGACATGAAAGTGTCAAAAAATTGCACCTATTGACATTCATATTTCCTCATTGAAACTTTACAGAGACCAACCAGTCAATCTTGAACAGAGTTAGCACATAACGCATTTCAGTATTGTTGCTGTAAAAATGTGTTGCTCTCACTGTTATAGATTTTAACTTCTTGATGGTAGTAATTGTTAAAAAATGATGTTTGCTCTATCCAAAAATGTTGTATCAAAAATACTTTTACAAACTTTGGGGGTGGGTTCCTCACACCAAAACAAGGAAAAAGCCCACATAAACATATGCCTGCAAATCCTTCATTTTTGAGTTATTAAGTTTAAAGAATGTTTATGGTAGATGGCACTGTTGGCATATAGACTAGGTTACATTTGTCATTTGTGTACATTTGTGGCTAGTTTGTCCTCAATGTTTAACGTGCATAGTAATGATTTAACTGAGAAGTGTTCGGTTTAACAATGGCAGGATATTCATATCATGAGCAGGTAGATATGATTTTTACATACTGCTATATGAATAGTAATGGATGCAAGGCTGAATGTCTGTATCAGATTGCATTTCCAGACTGAAGGCAGCTGATTCATCCAACCTTTACTGCTGTTTATCATCCTGTTGCTAAGACAGGATCTGTGGAACCACAAAATATGGATTGAAGAAGACTAATATCTGCTTGTACACTTGACCATGAAAAATACATTCTACAGGCTGTTAGAGATGATCCAGGTATCAGCACATGTGAAGTGGCTCATAATACTGCATGGAGGATACTTCAAGTGCAGCTTGCTTCATTTGTAAAATGTGCAGGATCTTTCGCCCTCTGATCACTCATCACAGGAGAACTTTTGCCAGTGGCTTATTGTATAAACTGCCCATTTATTGTTTGTCTCTGCAGTCTTATTTACGGATGAGGCAAGATTTGGAAGAGATGGAATAACAAATTTATACAACCAACATTTGTAAGTGGATCAGAATTCCCATGGTACAATACAGGCTACATACCAGCATCAGTTTACAATTAATGTGGGCTGGAATTGTAAGTGATTGTCTGATAGGTTCATATGTTCTCCCAGCACGTCTTACAGGAGCTGTCTACAGGGACTTTATTTTGAACACACTTCCAGACCTGCTAGAGGAGGAAGTACCCCGGCTAATATGAGGACGCATGTGGTTCATACATGATGTGGCTCCAGCATATTTTAGTCACATTGTTTGTGATGTATTCGCTGACATCTACCATGAATGATGGATAAGTAGGGGAGGGCCAGAGGCTGGAGGAACATCAAAAGCCATGGTGAGAGGTGAGACAATGAAATCGGGCATGGCTGATCATATATGGAGGGAAAGGGGTATCTTCAACCCTTGTGGAATGAAATGAAAATACTGGACAGTCACCTGAAAGAATCAATGCATATGCTAGGCTATGAGAACTTCCTAGCATATAAATAAATACAATGTGGAAGCCACTAATAAAGAAAAAAAGACAAATGTCAACACGTCTCCAACAGCAGCAATCAAAACATGGGCAGCAGTTGTAACCTAATCAGCAGTCAGGTTACATTTAAGACTCTAAGTTTAGTACAGTAAATTATCCCAAGGGACAATAAATAAAAGTATAGGTTTGTGAATCTGGTGACATAGTGGTTGTAAGTTCAATCCCTGGATCAGACAGTATTTACTTGCTCTCAGTGAAAATGTGAGCAATAAATGAACTACTAAATAAAAGTAAGAATTATATGATATCCCTAGACATGAGCAATGTCTAGTAGATTAAATAAAGGGTTTAGTTCAGAATTCCCTGTAGGTTACCCAGATTGATGTACAACATTGGAAGGTCAAAGTGTACAATGGACAAAACATTGTGATAACAACAACAAAGATGAGGAAAATAGTCCAAATATACTGTAAATAATGATAACTTCTGATGCATTCTGTGTTGTCTCTGGATCCCCATGTTATTACATAAAATGGTATCAATGAAAAGGACCATTTTCTTTTGTTATTCGTTAGCTTGGGTTCTAAGTGGCAATAGGAAGACTGACATCACAGAAAACACATCACACATTGACTCATCATCCCTCCACGGGTGGCCTTAGCTGGCCACTAACCTGGGTGTGGGAAGCATATTGACACTTCAAAATTCTTGAGACCCTCTGTTGAATTTGTGTCATTTGGGACTTCTATTCAAAACCCAGGCAAAGGCAATCTATCACTGTCAAAATACTCTGCCTACAAGGCACTCTGGCCAATCGCTGACGATTCTGGCTCTTGCCTTTGCATTCTGTAACACTCCTCATCCCAAAAATTCAGACAAAATTAAGAGTTGTTCATACAGGAAAATTACTAAAGCTAAGCAAGACTAATCATAGGATCAGTGACTAAGGATAAGGTCCTAAACTTTGATTTGGCCATAAAATACTTACTTGACACATGAGTTAACCATTAGTCAATGAGGATTTACTGAAGCATGGTTATTGCTCCTGCACTGTAAGTGGAGTTATGTTTCTCCTCATTTTATGGGAGAAGTTGCTTAGCCCTAGGGATTCTTATTCTGTGGCAGCACCTTCCTCATAGCATAAAGTAGGTACCAACATGAGATTGCTGGAAAATGTGCACAGCAGGATAATAACAGCTTTAAACTTGACGAAAACAAAATTTTATCATCTAAATGTTTATGTTTTTATTAAGAGGAAAGAACAAAGTAATTTTAATTATTTTTGAAATTTCTCTGTCTTTATTAGAGCATTCTAACTTCTGATTGAAAAACTTCATTTCTCTTCATCATCGAATGTCCTACTAAATAACATGGCAGATTTTTTGTGCATTTTTTTTTTAATGGCAGTCATTACTTTTGAAAATCTTGCAAAAATAAAAATAATTGTCGGATTTTAATGAAACTTTCAGAAAATATTCATAAATGATGGAAATTATTATAAATATGTTCATTTTTTTTTAAAGTCACGGTAAAAACTTTTTTTTTATATTTATTAACCCCCCCCCAACTAATTTTATGAAAACTCTTGAAATTCAAATGTGTACATTTTTAGTGATTAATTAGTTAAAAGCACAAGGTTTTGTTGAGGAAAGCAAATCATTTTTTGTTTTTTTTAGTTGACACCCTTAAAATCAGCTCTGAATTGTAACATAACAAAACTCAATAAGACAAAGATATTATTTAATTTCAAAAGCTTTTAGTTGCTTTTTACTTGTTTTTATGAATATGGATAATATTGTCTGAAAGCAAAAAACATTTTCGATAAAAAATTAATTTTTACAACAATTATTTGTTATTTCTTAAATTTTTTTTTTTTACATTAAAGTTGTTGAATATTCTAAAATTAATGAAGATGATGTACAGTTTAGTCAATGGTATTATTAAGTAGATAAATATTACAGATTATAAAATAAAGCTGGTTACAATCAGCAATCTGCAAATAGATAAAAACCACAATTTTTCTCTTTGGCCCATCTGCATCATAGGTATGCATATGGCGCTCCCCACATTAAAACGACCCTGTGTCACATACAGCTTTGGTGAGGATGCCAGGTAAATATTACTAAAATTAAAATACAACTCTGATTAACTTTCACCATGCCACATGAAAGCCAATGCTCTAGAAAACGATCATGACGAGAGTGATTGAAAAAATTGATAAATTAAAATAATCATAATAAAAATACAATCTTATTCAATTGTATTTTTACGAAAAATAAACTAAACTATAATTCATAAAACTAAAAACGAAACCATTTGCTTTCTTTTACTAGTTTCGAATCGGCCTTTAATATCAAGAGAGATAACTCCTTATTACAAACAAAGTAAAAGAAAAATAATAAAAGAAAATTTAAATTAATGATTATTCTTTAATAATAGAATTTTGACACTATAAAATTCAAAATAATACATAGAATGTCCGTTATAGAATTATTTTTAAAATTAAATTAGTAAGATTTTTTACATTTCTTTGTTTCGATATTTGCGTATCTATGTGAAAAAATAAGGGTAAATAAAAATATCAGTAAGTAATGCTAACTCAAATTCAACTGTTAGTGCACAACGTGTTTGGCGGGATTTACTTATTTCACAAGTACCCGAAAATTATTATTCTTCTGAGAAAAAGAAATCTTCCTGAGAAATTATTTATCTAGCTAATTCAAAATAAGTACTCTTCCGTTGATTTGTTTGTTTATAGCCGGCTGATTGTCTCTTTTTTTTTTTAAATGTCATAACGCCATTTTTTAAAGTAAACTTTCAAAAAGAAATGAATGAGGAAATAACCCCGGTACAGAAAGCGAGGGCCGTCTTATGGCTTTCAGAACTAAAGTCCGTGGAAAATGTTAATGAAAGATGGTTATACACATACAAGTCAGAACCGCCTTCGGAAAAAACACTGAAAAAATGGATGGAAAATTTTACAAAGTTCGGAAACTTAGAAGATCCTGATGATCAGTTGTCACTACCAAGAAAAGAAAAACATTCCGGTCCTAATTCTAACCCGGACACAAACCAGAAAGACAGATGTGCAAATCAACAAACCGAGGATTTAAATAAATTGCACCAGTCGCAATCATTTGGCGGTGATAGTTTCAGTTTCAACGCTAAAACAATCACATTCGAAAATATGTAAGTTTTTAAAATCTAGTTTTTCCCCCTCTCAGAATTCTTAATTTTATATGTATTTAAAACTTAACTTAGACACTTTCACTTTATCACAGGTTGCTCAATAACGTCATTAAATTTGAAAAAATTCTTAGACTGGCCATCATAAAAACACAAACAAGTGTGAGAATCTTACGCATCGGACTTCCAATACAATTTTATGGTCTGCCAGACAAACTTGTTATCTGTCTACATAAAAAGTCAAGCACCCAGTGGGGATAGAACTCACTAGCTAGACTAAACAGGCCTGGTGCGTATTACTCCTGACCTCCCCATAAAACTAATCACGACTGACTGGATTTTAAAAAGTATGAAAAAAAAAAAAAAAAAATTTCCCCCATTTTGATGACTTTTTTTTTTATACAACGGGTTAAAAATGAAATGTGTCCCGCCTTATTTCCTTTAGATACGTTATTATTTTTTATTTTGAATTAGGATTCGGATTCACCTAAAGATTTTGGAATCCTAAATTTAAAACTGATATTTTACAGCCGATATACTTTCTTAAAGAAACGTTCGTTAAAAATCCTAAATAAAACCGATATTTTTTTTAAAAGAAAATTTCAGTATCTTTTTATTGCATTATTATTTGGTAAATTTGCTTTTTAAGCTCCGCGCTAACTAGATATAAAAAATTTTCCAAAAACGTCATATTTCCGTGTAAATATACATGCTGAACTCGAATTAACAATTAAATTATGAAAAAAAAAACTACCGTTTTGGAGTTATCGACAAGAAAAAATCGGACTAATTCTGGGTAATTCGTCCGCCATTATGGACATTGTTTTTACTAATTATTAACCGAACCGCGGGGTACTTTTTCGTTGGCATAAGCATAAATTTTGGCCTATTACTTCTTTTACAGAATTTCGTCGCAGAAATCACTACGCACCACCAAAGTATTTTTATTTTTTTTAAGTGTAGTTTTATTTAATTATTTATTGATTTATTTTAAATTTAAAAAAATGCTTTATTGTAATTTGTTCTTTTTTAATTTTTCAGTATTTTCATATATTTGAAACTTAAATTTTTTGATAAGTTTTTTTTTAGTTTTGTTTTTATTTATAACAAGTTTAAATAAATTTTTAGAACCTTTTTTTCCGTGTAGAATAGCAATGACAAATTAAAAGAACGAATTAAATAAAGCATTTTTTTAATTAAAATTAAAACAAAAATAAAACGGATAATAATTAATGCGCAAACTTTGCATGAAGTTTGAAAAGAGCATGATTATTTAAAACAAAATGCTCCTTCCTAGCATTTTTTTTTATTTTGTAAATAATCATGCTCTTTTTACAAAGTTCGCGCATTAATTATTTCGTTTCTAGCATTATCTTTATTTTGTAGATAATCATGCTCTTTACAAAGTTTGCGCGCGCGAACTTTGTAAAGAACATGATTAACACTATCGGTTTTTAAAAAAAAACAATATTTTCTAAATAGGTTTTCTGGTACTCAGACTATTATTTTTTTATTCCGATTAAAGAACATGTATAATTCGACGTTACAGTATCTACAAACTAAATGTTTATTCATAAAAAAAAAAATGCAGTAAGTATTTATTAAAGAAACCTGAATAAAAAGAAAATAACACTAGTAAAAACCGATATTTTATTTTTATTAAAAGAAAAGCCGATATACTTAAAGAAACCTTTCTTTTTTTAATCCTAAATTAAGCTAAAGAAAATTAAAAAAAAAAAAAGTAATAAGACAATTATTGAAAACCAATATTTTCTTTACCTCAAGAAGAAACTATGTTTTAAAAAATTGCATTTTTTAACTTTTCCTTAACAAACAATTTGTTGTGAAATTAAGGTCGTGATGAACAGCTTCCTTCCAGATCCTTTTTTGTACGAATCCCCAGGTTCCCCAGCCTGGGACCTACGCTGTTTCTGATCTTCATCTATGATCTCCCCAATGTCATCAGTTCCCAAATAGGTATGCATGCAGATGACACTACCATTTTTACTCCTGTCTCAGTAGTAAATTCGACAGATCTGACAAAGTAAACGGTAAAACTGACGACTACTCTTGAAAAGGACCTCCAATCAACTAGGGCAAGAAATGATTTCTAAATTTTAACGCCTCCAAAACAAAACTGCTTTCATTTAATCACCACATAGAACTTTTTTTGCTTGCCATCACGCTGATGGTAGACAGAAGAGGAGTTACCGAGAGAGGTCATCGTTCTCCCGTCGCGGAAGGAATTTGCGTGGCATCGTGCATTGTTTGTAGCCGTAAGCGGAGTTGGTTTCGGTGCGATTCGAACGATTAACGGTGTTTTTGAAAGGACAGTTGGCGAGAAGAAACTGTCATGAGAAAGTTTCTTTCCGTTTTGTATTTTAGTTCACTTTCTTTTTTTACTTCAATCAGCATGATACTAAACTCCAGGAAAGCATCATGCTACTCCTTCTTAGCCTCACGTTTTCCACTGACATGAAGCGTAGTGACTATAATTGCTTCGTCTGCTGCAAGGAAAGTTTGTTCACTGTGTACTGTAGTGCCAGAAAATTTTTCTTGTCAGAATCCATTTTGCACATTTATAAATTTACCATTCATCTTGTGAATTGAATACTGTTGCCATATCTGGTCTAAAAATGTACATGCAATGTCAATTGCTATCTACTGTCCACCAGGTTACTATCTATCATCTTCTCTTTCTACTCATCAATGTTTCTGTTCCTAATTCTTCTACACTCTGTAACCCCGGGCCTTGTGTTTTAGCAGCATTAACTGCCTTGCTTCGGGTGATTCTGATTAAAATAAATAAATATTCTTTTAAATAAAACACTTAACAAAACACTAAAATTTTCACAGTAATTTCATATAATTTTTTTTTTTTTTCTTCCCGTTGTCGGCTTCTTGCATTAAGATTGCTCCACATGCGACGTCAGTGGTGAGTGTGAAAAGTTTGGAGAAATCTGGAAATGAGATGACGGGTGGTGAAGAGAGACGGTCCTTGATTTTTTTAAAGGCTCTGTCGGCATTTTGCGTCCAGACAAACGGTTTATTAACCTTGTTGAGTTCGTGTATGGGACCCATAAGTTTTAAAAACATATCTGACCTGATTTGTTCATGAAGACGTGTCTCTAGGAATTGTCTGATCCACACTAAACGGCTGATAAGGCTTTGTAATTCCTTTTTTGATGTTGGAGGTTTCATTTCCTGGATGGCACGAACGTATTCTGGATCAGCCTTGACTCCTTCGCTGTTTACTATGCGTCCGAGGAATTTTGCCTCTGATGCGAGGAAGGAACATTTATCGGGATTCAGCTTGAGTCCGAATTTTCGGAGGGCAGTAAAAAATTGTTTGAGGGAAAGTATGTACTCCCTAAATGTCCTAGCGTGGACCAGGTTGTCGTCAATATAGGAGGAAATGTTGTCATGGGATGTGACCGTGGCTAGGGCTCCTGCTATGCAACGGGAGAAGATTTGTCCAGCAGATGTAAGGCGAAGGCCAGGCGCGTATATTGATAGCATTGGTCCTTCCATGTAAATGCTGTTTTGTATCGGTCTTGCTTTGTCGATCTCAATTTGCCAGTAGCCGCTGCGTAGATCGAGGGTAGTGAAATATCTATTGCCTTTGCCGATTTTGTTGAACAAGTGGTCGATCCTTGGCATTGGGTAAGGGTCAAGATCGACTAAGACTTTGTTGAGAGTTCTTTTAAAGTTAGCAACGACATGAATCGATCTGTTTTTCTTGTGTACGGCAAATTCAGGGCTATTGAAGCCTTTGGGGTCGCTGCAGTTTTCAATGATACCTTCATCAGCCATACGCTTAATTTCGGTATCTACGTCTGCTTCCAAAGCCTGGGCTATCTGGTGTTGTTTCTGGCTGCAAGACTGGCCGTTGGTTGGTATGCGGATGGGTCGAATGAATGTGCCTTTGCTGCTGCTTTCGGTGCCGATAATGTCAGCGTAGCGAATGAGTAAGTTTGCAGTGGCCTCTAGTTCGTCTCGGTTCGGGTGGTTTGGTAGCGATAGTCCCGTGTTATGTTTTAGCCAGGTTAGCTTTTGATCCAGTGTCTGGATGTTGGGCTGTAGTTCTATAGTAGGCTGGTTTTGGATGATGTCAGCTTGGGCGCCATATGCTGGATCGTTGGTTGACGATGACGGTGATATGATTGCATCTGTGTGTGTCCTGAGGAAAGTGAGCGTCTGAATTCTATAGTTGCATTTTGGTTGTCGATTACATAGGAATCGAGCGTGTTGTGACATAGGATATTTTGGCCGATCAGGATTGGTGTGGTTTGGGTAGTTACCAGCACGTTAACCTTTTTGAATGTAGGTGAGTCTCGACTGCCGATGGTGATGTCGCAAGTCAGTTCTCTGAGGGCAGTGGTGCTGCCGTTGATTCCTTTTACTACGACGTCGGAGCGGGTCGTGAGTTTCTTGGCTTCTCTGGGTAACTGAGATATTGGTACGATGCAGGTGGAGCATCCAGAGTCTAGCATTGCAACGCCAGAGAAGGTGATGTCCCTAAAGTTGAAGGTGGACTGGACGAGCAGTGAATGGTGAGTGAGTCCTTGAAAGTTGAAGGTGTGATGGCTGACGTGAAGGGCATGGCGAACGAGGCATCACATCTCGCCCTGCCCGGGCGAAAATCCTGTTCCACATCATTTATGGCTTGTATATTGTCATTCGTTGCGGCGATATGGGCCTCTGCCCGAAAAATTTGGGTGGCGATATACACAGTTGCGTCCATGGTGGCAGGGGCGACCTGTGAGGTAGTTCTTGCACACGCTGATTCGTGGTGTGTGCTGATGGTTTCTGCATGTTGGATGGTGGCCATGTTCGGGAGGGTTGGTGAGACCCGTCTGCTGTGGGTTTGGTTGCCTGCTGGGTCGGAGTGGTGCGTTTCTTTGGTTTGACCACTGTGGTTTCTGTGTGAAATACACAGTGTCGTGCGAAGTTGTGTGGTTGGATTTTACACCGCGATCAAGATATATTTGAGCTTCGGAGGCTATGCCAATGGCTGAATAGTGGTTGTCCATTGTCTTGACGAGATGTGGGTAGAGATTTGAGTTCCAAATTTTCACCTTTTCGCTCATTGGCATAGCGCCGATGATGGAAATAAGTCCATCGACTGTTAAGTCTGTATTTTTGTCTTTTTTGTATTTGGTTTTTATGTGGACGGCTGCCTCTCTTAGGGTGTTTTTCGAATCGACCCGAAAGTCTGTTAATTTTTTCGCCGCTCGCCGTTCCAGGTCCCAGGCTTGACTGAGGTGTTGGAAGTTAGTCATCTGGCTTTCGTGGGCTCTAATAAGTATTCCTTCAGTTGTTCGAAGGTGGATATGTCCTTTTTTGAGTCAACCATTTGCTGAAAGATACTTTGGTCCAGTAAATCTTTAGCAGACTTGACGAATTCGCATTCCAGGCTCGGATAGGTGCTGAGTGCTGGCGTGACGTGGATTGTGTATGCTTTGTTTAGAGCCATGATGAATCGGTTCACGTCGTGTCCAGGGTGAAAAGTTTTCTTCAATGTGTCACGTATAGTTTGTTGGCGCATCATTAAGCTGTAATCGCCATTTGTTTGAGCAGTGGGAGGTGTTGAAGTAGTTTTTAGGGCAGTCAGCATGTCGTTTATGTCGGCTTGAATTTCCTGTATCATGGCTTCGGAAGGCTGTGTTGGTCCTGTTTTCAAGTTGAATAGTAGTGTTTTCTGTTCCTTGATGAGAGTAAATAGTTCGGCTCGGGTGAAGCTTGTGTAGTCGGCCATATTTCTCTTTGCTGTACGCTTCTGACACCAGTGTTATAGACAAGCGTATGGTTGCAAGAAAGAAATACGACAACAGTAGAAATAGATTTACGTGATTTATTTCAACAGGAACGTGAGGGTTTGGGACAGCTACCTTGTGGTAAAGTTCATAAGCCAGCTTTCGGATCTGGTTGATCTCTCATAGTAGTTCACACATGTTGACGGTTGTTGACGCTCCCCTGCTGCTGATCGCTTGGCCTGACCGTCAGGTCTGTTCGCTGGCCACCTGTTGACTGCCTGCCGGAACACGTGTGTCGGGAACATTTGTAAAGAAAGTTAATGGTCATTTGTGACGGGGCTTTGTCCTGTTCACATCTGGTTCTCGCTCTTGAGTATTTGCCTGTAAATCAGCTGAGATATGTCTTATTTTATTTTATAACAAGGGTTATAAAAAATTCAAATAAACATAATTTCACACTGACTCATAAAAAAATTTTTTTTTGAATTTGCGGGAGTGGTTAAAGAGCTTATTGTTATTTTCTAACTAAATGGTCCAAAAATAACATGTGGTAGGTCTTAACAACTATATCCACAAGTATTCTGGCAGTATTTGCCCTAGTAGATATTGCTTATCAAACCTTCTGATGGGATTTTATTAGTTGAAAAATATATAGAGATAGGATTTAATAATTAAATTTTAATTCCTATACCACCATGGACTTTCTAAAAAGATCCAGATTTAAGGATTAATTAACTGGGTTTACCTTTTACTTAAAACAGACTGAAAATAATGTTTTATTTATGCATGCTAGCTCGTGAGGTCAAAGAATAAAGACTGTGTAATTTCACCTCTAAAAAAAAAAAACCTAAAGAAATACAGAAGACCCTAAGTGCACTAATCAGGAATTTGTTATTTATGTTTAAAAATAAATTGTTCTTTAACTTTATATAACCAATCGTTTAAGAATATATTTTTTTTTATTTCATACACCTCATTAAACTTAGTATAATAAATAAATTTGAAGCCATTAAGGCACTGCCAAAACAAAAATAATGTAATTTGCATTACATTAATGTGAAAAAGAAAACATTTATTTTAGAAAAATTCCAGTATAAACAAAGTATTCTCTTATGTGAATGAAATAATTTTGTTGTAATTCTGAAAGATTTCTTGGTGGTGTGGAGAACAGATTATGCAAAAAAAATAAAACAAAGTCTTCTTTTTAAAATAATAAGAACAATATACATTGTTGTCCTCATCTTTATTGCCATATTCACAATGTTTCAGGTGATTGGAAATTAAAAATTCCAATCACCTGACAAAAGCTGGAGCATACAACAGCCGAAACATGAATATGGCAACAGTCTGGACAATGTAAATAATTACAATGCCTCATCTTGGAAATATAGACAGATATTACACTTAATTACTGAAGTAAGTATTGGTTATTCTTGTATAGAAGAATCTGGAAATAAGCGTAAATGCCAATTTTTAATTATGTATTTATCGTCATCTAATAAGCGTTTAAATAATGCTTACTAACTCATATATTTGGAAACTTGAGCCCTAAAATTTTGACGGTTTTATTCTGAAAAATGCACTTATAATAATGTAAAGATCGTCTTTCCATTCATTTATAATTATGCTAAACTTAGCATGTACATTTTAACATTCATAGTGAGTAGGTTTCTAGCTGCACGTTAATTTTTATTTTTATCACTAGAACGTTTTTTTGGTAGTCTATTTTTAGATAAATCCTAACTTTACAAGCTTGCTTATAATTGCTTACCACGTTCCCGTGGTCTCCCTTATAAACTTGCATTTTAATTGATTACTTCATTGTTATTAAAAAAGCTTAGCCAAACCCCTCCAACTACAGCCTGACAATAATGCCAAGAGAGCGAAATCCTTCACTTGGACGTGCTTCTACTACAGCCAAACGCATGAAAGCACAGAGAAGAAACGCTTTGCAACAAGAAACTCAAATTAGACTGACACAAAATGCTATTCGTACAGCTAATGCAAAGTCAGCAGAAACTAATGAGCAATGGTTAACTAAACGAAGAAGGAATGCTGTCAAAACTGAGGGCCAAAGAACAATTTTATAGTCTTTGTGAACGTTGGTTTTCAACCTTGGCATGGCTGCTAGAAGTTTTTGTTGAATTTCTTCTTCCAATGCATGTTGTTCATTCTATGTAGTTTGAGCAAAAGCTGTCAACAAAGCATTTCTCCTCAACAATTTTCGAAGATCGATTGCCATTAATGTACTCTTCATTTGCTGACAATTTTTTTTGTATCTTCTGGGCTTCTGTAAAAAACAACTTTCTCCTGTTATAAATGTTTTCACACTTCATGTCATTATAATTTTTCGCCATATAGATAAGAGGCACTAAAGAAAATCTTTATTTTAACTTTACAGATTGGATGAGGTTTGTGATCTTTTTTTGAATAAACCCAGGCAACGCCAGGTAATGCTGCTAGTTATTTAATAAAAGAAACTCTTCAAAATCACACTGAAAATTACAAGTAATTATTTTTATAAATAAATTAAGTGTAGATTTTTTTCTGTCCAGCCTGTTATGCAAGCACCAATTCAAAAAGTTTCTTTTTTGAGTTTTATTGAATTTTTTTTTTTTTTTTTGCAGGCCATGTTTTCCATATGTTCTCACTTGATACCGCATAAATGATTTACTGAAACAGGGATTTTTCTTTATATAATTGTAAAGAGATTTTGTGAACACCCCCTAAATTAAAAAGTACACACGAGATATGGAAAAGGGAGGATGAAACATACTCGACAAAAATAACATTTCCCCAATGTTTTTTTTAATAAAACGATATATTCAGTAAAAAAAAAACAAAAAAAAAAACTCTTTCATTAATGATTAAGTATTTAAAATTTTGTTTGAACTGGAAAATTCCTTGATTTTTTGCAAATATTTTAAAATGTGGGTGGGGTAGAGATTTTTTGCTTTCATTTTGGGAAAAAGGTATCAGTTTTCGTGGTACCTATTTTAAACCTAGCCAAATACTGTAGACATTTTCAGTAGAAATATTTTTGTGGCTATACTCACAAATACACAACAGAATACCTCAGGAAATGCTGTAAAAGAAAGTTATGAAAACAGTGGCAGTATTTGGAGCACTACTGGTCCACTTGTAAAAATATAGAAAAAAAATTTTGTAGATTAGTATTCTTTAGATCTTCCTTAGGCTGCAACCCTTTTCTGAATAGAAAAATGTTGATTTGTTTTTTATTATAGAAGAGGGGCTCCTGTTTGTAATGTTTTTACATTGTAAAATTGATCCCTGACTTAACAGTTATCTGAATTTAGCTATTTGTTTAAAAGAAATGTTGAGTTTGAAACTGTACTTTCATCATTGATATGTGTACAAAAATAGGCTATTTTTTATTTTACAAAAGGATTTTTTTTAAATAAAGATCCAAGTGAATTCTATCTTTACAGAGCGCTTCAATTCTTGTGCTCATCAAAGCTCAAATTAAATATTTTTAATAGAAGTTTATAACCACTTATGATGATGACCCAACACAGCAGATTTTTCCAATGTATTAATTTTTCATTTGTAAATCAACAGGATAATAATTTTCTATTATTTGCAAAACTTGTTTTCCTGATAGCCAATTTCTTCCTAGTGCTCATAATGAATAATAATACAAAAATACTCCTGTCACATCAAATTTTTCATATAATAACAAATAGCTCATATCTGCTTTTTTTAAGTCGAAAGCTTCAAGAAGATTTCTGTAATGAAAGAAACTGGAATCAATATCATAGTCCTCGAAATATTTTATTGGCATTAGTTGGAGAAGTTGGTGAATTGGCAGAGATCTTGTAAGTATTTAACATTTTTTCTTTTTTTTATTGTTCATATTATGTATTAAAATATTGACATAAAAGCATACTCTACAATGGTTGACTGGGACATGGAAAGATTTATGCCTTTTTCTTTTTAAGAAAAAGAAATTTGAAAGCAATAATAAACTATTTCTTTATAGAAATTTCTATTAGTTCAATCTACACACTCAATTTACAGTTTCAAAGTAAAGCAATCAAATTACAGAGAACCATTTGTTTCCTAAATGGTACAGGAAACATTGTTCACTGTGTTAAATAGAATACTTCACTTTGAAACTGTAAATTGATTGTACATAATAAACTAATTTATTTTGTCTTAAGTACTTAATAAAAAATGGGATTTGTTGAATAATGCTTATCTTAAAGTATGTGTAGTGCTATTTGAACAACACAGCAATATTTTAATTTTCTAAAATCAAAAGTCCTTCTTAATGGGTAGGTCTCTGAAGGTAGTTGTTAACTCTGGGACCCTAGCAATCAATGCAGACATACCCCAGGGATAACTTCTCAAAACACCCCTCTTTTTACATTACATGTAATCTGCCTAATTCATTTGTGAATATCTATGCTGATGATACAACAGGGTATGGGTGCACCTCCAAAACACTAGATGACCAGAGAGTGGCAGCTGATCTCATCTGTGGGGAAAACTGGCTGGTTACATACAATGCCTTGAAAAACAAACTAGTTACATTCCATCATCGATGATTGTATCCTGAACTATCATCAGTCTTGATAAATGGATTTTCCCTCAAGGAGGCTCTGTGCCTTAAATTACTATTCAGCCTTAAGCTCAACCCAGACCTCAAGTGGAACTCTTACAAGGATGTAGGAAAAATGTTCAATTCCTTTTACCACTCCAGTGAGTACCTGATTCCTTGTACTATCATATACCTTTACAAGAGACAGATCATGTCTAAAATGGAGTACTGCTGTCATCTTTCGGACGGAGCTGCCCAGTCCTCACTTTAGTTTCAACAGAGTGCAAAAGCTTCTCTGTGTCCTTTTGGGTGACAAATTATTTTCCACCTTACAAACACTCTCTCACAGGCGAAATGTTGCAAACCTCTCACTGCTCTATTGCTACTTCCATACAAAGTGCTCAGAAAACTACATACCTTAGTTCCACCAGTTTAAGCCTTGCTGTCTAGAAACCACCATTCTATGTGCCTTGTAGTAAACCACCCACACTCCCTCCATATTCCATTGATGAGAATTAAGTTCCATTTGAGTAGATTCCTCCCATGAACCACTATTCTGTGGAAATGACTCCCAAGAGGATGCTTCCTCAATCACTACAATCTTAACCTTTTCAAGTCTAAGGTTAACTGTTATCTTCCACATATATCTGCATAAACTGCACCTTTTACTCTGTAACCCACTACCTGAATTGGCTCCAGGGCCTTGTACGAAGTGAACACCACTGAAAAAAAAATGTGTTAATTTTGCTTTACAGTTATTTTTTTTTCACAAATCAAGGTCATTGATCATTAACTCCCCTACATATTTATAGACCTTCCCAATGTCAGAATGCAGGAAACCCATACAGTGTGGGGGGGGGACAAAAATGTCTAGTTTCTTTAGCCTTGCTTTGACCCTGTTTATTTTAAATTAATGAGAGAACAGATCTGCTGGAACCAAACATGGTACTTGGGATAACAGGAAAATACTTTACTGGATAATACTCACTAATAGTATTATAACTGAAATTAGCTAGAATAGTTATATATATTTTACTATATTAACCTGATTTGTTGTTAATTATTTATTATTATATTTTAATCTAAATAGCATGGTCATAATTAGTTAGCCTCCAATTCAGTCCAGTATAAAATCATTTACATTTCTTTTTAAATAGTTTAACACAAGAGAACTTTCAATTTCCTTCATTTCTTTATATCAAGAATCTTTCCTTCTGCAGAATTGCTGCAAGATTTCTTTACAAAAATCCTGCTATCTTTAGAATTCTATCTTTTAATTAATTTTGAAACATAGATGTATTTCAGCAAATACTGCTGTTTTCTAGATAATTTCAATATAAATTTTATGTGGTAAATTTTTATGCTTAAAAATGTATATGAAAGTAGGCTCATCCAATCAGTGGCTAGTATTAATTTAAAACTGTATAACACCGATGCATTATTTAGAACCATGTGACCCAAGAAGGTACATAAACTAAAGTTCATGAATCATGCACCTGTGAGATCAGAAGCTTCCAACAGGAAACCTGAAACTTTTCATGAGAATCACAGCCAAATACAGTGTAACAAAACAAACCTTTCTCAAATACTGCATCAGAAATTTCAATGCTCACTACAAAAAGAAGCTGCATCTACTCTACTCTTGTAAAACTGCACGACAAGTAATGTACTAAAAAAAAAAAAAAAACTTTTTTCTCACACACTCAATTTCAAATTACAACCTTTTCTAAAAATACCCGAGACATTTCACAAAGAAAAAAATATCAAGTGATAATTCAATTACAATAACAAATTTATCATCTTACAAATTCGCATACCAGGTTCACAACATTTTAAATTCATTCATTCCCGAATTTATTATTTTAAATTCTATTTCTTAATATGCAATGTAATTGTAACTAGTATAAAAAAGAGAAACCTCTCTGCAAAACCATTCACAGTTAAAGGCAGACAACTTTGTTTGTTTTATAAAAATATTCTTGTGAGCGAAATTTATTGATTTATTTTAAAAGAACAGTATTTTACAATTTAAAAACTGACTTACAAAAGAAACAAATCAAAACATCCAATCTTACATTGACTGAAATGTTCCAAACCAAAAGACAATTTCATGTAATATTCACTGTCACAGAAATTATGAACAATACCTTTTAAAAGAAAGTAGTGAAACAAAAGAAAAACGTAAACAGTTTCAAAAGATACAATCTCTCTGAATTCTATTTCAGCAACAACAAATGTAAATTTCTGTATATAAATTCAAATATCTCTCTTTCATATACAAAAGAGTCGTTTTGTCACTTATTGAGAATGTTATGATTGACCTTGTGTCAGGCAAACAACAAAATTTAAATGTTTGTAGAGTTTTCTTCATGCAGTCTAATCAGCTATAATTAACCAAAAAAAATAATAAAAAGCCTTCTGCTAATATTTTTTTTTAAATCAATACTCTTAACTCTGCAACATATCTATCATTACCTTATCTTTTCCCATGCTCTCACTATTACTCTTTTTAAAATCTTTTCAGTGACTAAATTTAAAATATAGTATTTTTATCTTTTAGCAAAATCTCTCAATAATAATAAATGAAAAAAAAAACAGTTTTTTTCTTATAAACTAATCAGGTAACAAACAAAATTTCATAAAACATGCAAAAAGATAACTAATTTAGTGTATTTATTCATGAGGGGGTACTGAAGACAGACCAAACAAGAAAAATGGCTTAAAGCCATGGAAGTTCAACACACTTGGCACATCATTTTAAAAATTTCTCTGATCTTTCCCTAAAATAATTCTTTGGTCATACTGATTTTCAGCAGCCCCTTGTATTATGGTTGCCATAGTTATTGGGCTTTTATAAAAAGACAGTACTAATTCTTTTTTTTCTTTTTTTTTTCATAATGTAGTCAATGGAAAGGAGAAGTAAAGAAAGGCATTCCAAGTAAGTATTTCTAAAATAAACATTTAATGTGTAGATTGAATGTGAGTCCCAGATTATATCCTCAAGTATAAATTATTTTATGCAATAAGTTTAATTTTTCTAATACTTACTTTTTTTAAATTCTATCAATGATAGTTAAAAATAGTAAATAACCAATGTTATCTTTTATTTTAAAGATATATAAAGTGCTAAATGGTAAATATTATTAAAAGAATTTAAAAAAGAACACTTAAAATATGCCCTTTTCCTATATTTAAATGACATTAACCTTTATCATGTTGGAAGTGAGAATTGTCACCATAGAATTTTCTCCTTTTGCAAGCTGTAGGTGCATTTTGTTTACCTCAAGAGGGTTGCTATAAATAAATGTCAATTGTTGTTTCCGGAAATAACAATTGACAAGTGTTTATTTATATTAACCCTCTCAAGGTGACAGAATGCACCTACAGCTTGCAAAGGGAGAAAATTTTATGGTGACAATTCTCACTTCCAACATGATAAAGGTTAAGGAAACAGATTGTCAAAGGAAAGGTAATATGAATCCCTTATTACAACTTCTTAACACCTTTTTTTTTTCTCCCTCATCTTCAGCCTAATGAAGTACTTCATTTTCTTTTGCATGTTATTGGTTCTGTGCTAACCAATAGTGAAAAGTACAAAATGGATAAGTCAGTTAAGAATACGTATGAACTGTTACTAAATCCACTAGCTACCTACTAATAGATTTAAGACTTCATTACTATAAACTAAATGTTAAAATAATTTTATTTGCAGGTTTTACTGATGCAGAGAAGGAGCATCTTGGAGAAGAGTTGAGTGATGTTTTAATCTACTTGATAAGATTAGCTGATCGTTGTGAGATAGATCTCCCCTTGGTAACTCTTAAAAAAATTGAAAAGAATGCCAAAAAATATCCTGTCAATAAAGTCTATGGTAAAAGCAAAAAATACAATAAGTATCAAAGTAGTTGAAATACACAATGTAAATAAAACTTTGTAAACAAATCAAAATAAAATTCTTGTTGCTTCAGTTTTCTCTGAATCTTGTTTGTTGTTAAATTTCTAATCATTATTCACTTAACTGACAGTTGTATACAGCCATTTTCTCAAATCCATGATTAAAAATGGTTTCAAAGTGAATGATACTTGCAGGTTTTATTGAGGACCATCCTTCTTTAAACTTTGTGGACTGGCAGTACAGAATCACAAAGAACTCTACCAAGTAACAAACCACATCACTTGACTTACAGCAACGATTAAAATGGAGAGCACATGTAATTTGAGGAAATGACAAAATCAAGATGTTGACATTCCACACTACTTCAAAGAAAAGGTTAGAAAGGAGCAATAACAGTTGCTGAGACTGCTTGGTCAATGAATGCTGAATGTTTCCATTCAGCTATTAGCAATAATTATATAAATCTAATAATTTCAAGACAATTTCATTGAATGCAGTAAAATAAAATAGTGTTCTCAAATTTTATTGTTGCTCAAAGAGGAAAACTTTTTTAGATTTAATAATGCTTGTCGCATATAAAGTTTTCATCAAGTGACAAAGCATTCACTTAAAATGTCTAATTGTTCACAACCATATATATGTAGCATATAAACAAACATTAAAATAAAGTAGTCAGAGGTAGGACCCAAACCCACTTGCAGAACAATGTGATCACTCAACTATGTACATTCAATGTGCACTTTATTTATTCATTTTGTGCTTAAATTCATAGCATTAATGAAAATGTAATATATTTTGACATCAAAGAATAATTTTATATCAACATTAAATGCATTCTTGAAACCCAATGCTACTTGCAATATATTTTTCATTGTTAAATTGTTACCAAATTCAATTAGAATTCTGATCTCCAAATGAAGCAAGAATCAAGCACCTGAATGAATAGTTATTTCTAATATATAAGTATGAATCCACAAAACCTATAGTGTAAGAATCATAATATTTAATTTTAAGTCATTTTATTCATAATTCACATTTCTTTTTTCTTGTTAGAATAAACTTATAATTTTTTAAATTATTTCATATGAATTCTTACTGAGGTGTACACTATAATATTTTTAAAACAATTTCTTTTTTCATTTTTAAAGTTTGTTCCTGTGATTTTTATTGCCGTATTTGTTTATTGTAAAGAAGCAAATACTCCTTTAGGTGTCAATCTTAAAATGGTATTTGTTTATTAGACCCATACTTGTGGCTTTGTGCTAAAACTAAGCTTCACTCAGCAAATAAGTAAAGAAATAGCTGGTTTTAAAAGATGGAGTGAATAATTATTCACTCAAGCTTTTAAAACCAACATTTCAAACTTCATTTGCATTGTACACTTATGACTAGTTTTTTACATAAGTTGTACATAAATTTAAAATCAGACATTGAATTTGACTTGAAATTGTTTTACCACAAAAGTAGAATTGACCTGGTGCCATAATATAAACTAAAATTTTTTTTTTTTTTTATTTAATTTTTTTGCTTAAAAATTCATAACATTTCCTCATTTTACACTGGAAAATTTTAATTTATATTGAAGATGTAGAGAAGAAAAGTGCATTTAGTTTTTTTTTTTTTTTTTTATGGAAAATAAACTCGTTTAATTGTTTAGTCAGTTAGCTTTTGAAATAACAATTGACATCCTTAATAGTCAAAGTGACATATTTCAGTGAACACCGGTAATTCCGTCTTATTTTTAAAGGAAGTATAATCTCAAACCAATCGGTTTGATTAAAAAGAAAATCGTATTTTCTGTTATGTACCAAATTGTTTTAGGATGGTGTCATCTGTACAGATAAATACAAATGTGACATTTATTTATGAGTCAAGATATTACTAAACAAACAAATTGTTTGCCTTAGTCAGCTACAAATATTTTTCCAACAACAACAATAATAATAAAAAAAGAAAACAATAACAACGCAAAGTTTCGAACTCCTCGATTCACCTTCCAAAGGTTGGCTCTTCACGGAACTTTAACGAGAATGGATGTGTCAAATGAGTTGCCTTTACATCCAGAAATTAAACAAGAAACATCTTTTGAGGTTGCCTTCACCTCTGGTGGATCTGTACTAGAAACGAGACCTCAAATAGAATTCACTAACAAGAACATGGGATTTAACAATATAAATCATATCAACAATGAAAACCACGAGGAAATGGTCGATAATAAAGAAACAACACTTAAAACAATGTAACTAATCTGTATTTTATTCGTATTTATTCTGTTTATTTTTATTTATTCTAGATGTTTAATTTTAACATGGCTTGACTGCTATAGACTTGTTTTCCAATTAAGCTTAGAAACTAATGTACTTTTCACAAACGGATCTTAAAAAAACTGTTATGCATTATTTCTAACTAGAACATCTGCTTTGTAAAAGAATTTTATTATTCAAAAAAAACATTCTATATATCTTAGTTTAAAAATCATGTAAGATTTGCAACTAATTTGCGAGAGTAAAGCTAAAAATAAAACAGAAAGACGCACGAAATCTGCTCTACTTTTTTGTTAAATTGTTTTAAAATTTGTATTTCTCATGAAATTGTTGGTTGGAGGACGTTATCTTAGGTTTAAAAAAAGGTAAGTGTTATGTCTACTCGCTAAATATTTTCTAGCGCGCTTACCATAGTGATGGTTTGCAGGTTAATGCGAATTCAGTCCCTAGTGTTTTAGAGTTGGTGAAAAAAAAAGTAAATAAAAAAATTAAAGGATCTATTGAATTTAATTTAACTAAATTTAGTTTTCTTTAAAAAGTATGATTAAGGAATGAAATTAAACTTGTTTGTTTACACAATTACATTAAAAATTATTGTTTATAAAAATTATTTTTTGATATTGGTTTTCTTTTTTTAAAAAAACCTTTTATTTCCTACCCCGTTAATTTTAAACATACACATTTATTTGCCTATTTTTCTGAGATGAGGTAAAATTTCCAACAAATTTCACCTGAAGAAGGCCGAAACGTCGTGGATGTCACAGTAAAGATGAGGACGACAGTCCGAAGAATAGTAAAAATTGCACATTTTTATTATTTTTTTTGTAAACATAACTCTGGTTAGTCAAATATATATTTTTTTAATGCTTCCTAAACTGTCCATTTTAAAAATTTTAAAAATATGTAACCTTTCAAAAGAAATAGATTACTTAAAAAACATGAAAAATAATTTTTTTTAACTTGTGTTATTGATCAATATGAGGAAAAAAATCAGAAGTCCCTCCTTTTCCCTACAAAATATTAAGAAAGCTGTTGAATGGATCATCTGAAATGTGCTAACAATAGCAGCACAAAGAAGCAGTTCAATTGACTAAAAACACAAATCTTGAAAAGTTTGAGTCTTTTCAAAGTGATATACAGTAAATAAATTATTTGATAAAAACAATTAATCTAATGTTTTTCTCTTGCACTTAGACAAAAGATGCAAGATTTTGTGGATGATGTAAATGACATCTTACAAGTACCAACTGACCAAATACCACAAACAAGGTAAGAAACCTTCAGTTCTATTTTTATAGAAATAGACTTTAAAAACAAATCATTTCTTAAAATGAAAATAGTTAATTAAATTTTGGTTTCCAAATTTACTCAGATTTTTATTCAGTAAAAATATCCTTTTGTAAGTCTTCAAAGGGGAGACATGGTGGATAAGCAGCTCAGACTGAGGAATCTGAGAGCTGAGTTTGAATTCCAGTTGAATCCATTACATTTACTTACATGCTAATACCCTTGGGAAATGTATGAATCTTCTTCTCCACCCAGCTATGAGTAAATAGCAGGACAGAACAGCAACTGGTCTACTGCAGAAAGAAATGGCAACCTACTGTGGGACAAAATCTGCCTTGTCAGTTATGTATCAAAAGATACATGATCACCTAAGCATGTATCACACATGGCACATAACTGACTGAAGTCTTCAAAACAAGATAACTATCAGTATATTTCAAAATATAAAATGTTAAATACCAGATCTTCCATTATTCTAGTTATTTTATTTTAATTTTTTTATGCAATACATTATTTCAATTTTTGATAGTGTATTGACTGCTATGCACACCCACAATTTATTTGTTGTGATTGGCTAGTAAATCAATACTGCTTTTCTATAACACAATTTAGCAATCGCAGTCATCACTTTGAATTTTTCGGTCGTGAACATGTTCACATGTTTCTTTAATACAAAATCAGTAATTGGTCAAATTTTAACCAATGAAACATTTTAATACTAAATCAATTTTTCCCGCATTTTCACTCGGAGCCTACCGGTACCTTTAAAAGAAGCAATTTTGCCACAAGCCACCAGTAGAGTCCATCTATTTCACCTGTCCACACAAATCTACGACTTTACTCACAATATTTCAAACCCACACACACACAGATTTTTGTAACACATTATACATATCTCTTTCTGTGACTCAGCTAAGTTCATGATCCAGAACTCTATTAATTTCTCTAAACAATACATTTCTTAATTAACTGTATTCTATTCTAACAGCAAACTCTATTCAACATAGAATCCTGAACATTTTTATTCAAGAGAAACTCTTTTGAACATTCAATCATAAATCAGAATACAATTGAAGGGTTAAAATTGCATGGTTGAGCAATACAGTTGCTTTGTTTCCATCCTGGTCGGCCATTTTGGGTAGTTTTTTGAAATGCACCTGGTAGAGAAAAAATTTCTTCGCACCAAGTTGAATTTCTGTATATTATTTTCTTTTAAACCCCAGTTAGTATCTATACCTAACCAGAAGGCAGGAAATGCCAGTCCCAACAGCACATGAAGACGGCGTCTGCTGTTGGGGGAGACAAAGCCAACATCCGAGACAGAAATTCTGACGAATTATTTCTGGTCGACACAGGTGCCCAAGTCAGCGTAATTTCACCCAGACCAGGTTTTCCTACTGAAAGATCTTCATACACTTTACGCGCAGCAAATGGTTCCCAAATACAAACCTTTGGTCAATTGTCTATGACTCTAAACATTGGATTAAAGAGTACGTTCCAATGGTTTTTTTACTGTGGTGCAAGTCAAATTTCACATACTAGGTGCAGATTTTCAAGCATATTACAAGCTAGCCATGGATATGTCGAACCACTCACTTATAGACCAGATGACTAAACTTAACTAATACAGGGATAACCTCCACCCTTATGTCAGCCAAATTATGTGTCGCTTTACCAGTAAATAATCCACTCCAAGACGTACTGGATAAGTTTCCCTCACTTATCCAACCTTTTACATATACTGAAATGGTAAAACATCAAACTGTTCATAAGATTCATACATCTGGCCCGCCAGTTTTTTCGAAACCACATAGACTCAGACCAGAAAAATACAAGCTAGCACATACTGAATTTCAGCACATGTTGGACCTGGGCATAATTTGCCCTTCCTCAAGCCCTTTCGTGTCTCCACTCCACATGGTCCCTAAGGCGCAAGAGGGGGCGTGGAGGCCCCGTAAAGGCTATAGACGCCTTAATGTGCAGACAATTCCTGATAAATATCCTGTGCCCAACTTAGCCGAGTTTGCAATTTCTCTGCAAAGAGCTAAAATTTTCACAAAAATAGTCCTACATAAAGCTTTTTATCAAATTCCAGTGGCCGCTGAAGACATACACAAAACAGCCATCACAACCCCTTTTGGTCTATACGAATTTTTTCAAATGCCTTTTGGCCTTCGAAACGCTGCACAGTCATTCCAATGTCTAATCGACGAAGTACTCCATGGTTTATCACACTTGTTCGCTTACATTGATGACCTCCTTGTAGCAAGCGCTAACATTGGATGACCACGTGCGTCAAGTCACACAAGTTTTCCAATGTTTGGAATATTTCGGTTTAAAAATCAACCAAGACAAATGTGTGTTTGCTGTTCCTAGACTGAATTTCCTCGGATACTAAATTGACGTTTCTGGCATCACACCTGTCCCGGAAAAAGTTACAGCTATATGAGAGTTTCCTCAACCTACGACACTCTGGCAACTTTGATGTTATCGCAGCTTAATAAATTACTATCGCCAGTTCATTCCGAACTGTTCCCACATTCTGGCACCTCTTACCAACTTACTTCATGGCCAGGGGAAGAGAAACACGAAGATAACACTATCGGACGAAGCTCTTGCTGATTTCATCAATTCCAGGAATGCACTAGCGAATTTTACCAAGCTAAGTTATCTACATGACGACAATACAGCACATCTTTTGCTCACTACTGATGTCTCATCAGAAGCAATTGGAGCTGTTCTACACCAGCATACGGAAAAAGAAACCACACCAATTTCCTTTTTCTCAGTTAAACTCACTTCAACCCAAAAAAAGTACAGCACCTTTTTGCGTGAGTTACTTGCTATTTATCTCTCAATTAAACATTTTTGACATATATTGAAAGGTCGGAATTTTACTGTATTCACTGATCATCTAGCCTATGCCCTTCATACCAAATCAGACAGGTATAATCCGCGTGATTATGGGCAGTTAGACTTTATTTTGCAGTTTACTACCAATATACGCCATGTCAAAGGTAGCGACAACACCGTTGCCGACACACTATCAAGAGCATTCTTACTTAGCACCACTAAGGAGAAACTTGATCTTGATTTTCTAGCAGACGAGCAAAAAAGGCACACTACTCTGTTTGACTCATTGAAAAATTCGTCGTTATCGATCAGCCCACGTCCCATTCCTTTCAGTACCAAGTTAATCACTTGCGACGTCAGCACTTCTCATCCCAGACCTTTAGTACCCGTCAGCATGAGAAGACAAATTTTTGACCATTTCCACTCCTTCTCATACCTGGGATGGAAAGTTACAGCAAAACTAATTTGAAAACGTTTTGTCTGGCCAAAAATGAACATCCATATTAAGAATTGGACTCAATGTGGTCTCGTTTGCCAATGTACAAAAGTGCACCGCCATACTAAATCCCCCACCTGGAAACTTCACCGAACCCGACGGCCGCTTCCATCACCTGCATGTCGATTTAGTGGGTCTGTTACCGGAAGTCAACGAATACCAGTACATCCTTACTGTCATAGACAGATTTTCCAGATGGCCTATCGCAATTCCACTTCAGTCAATAACCGCAGACTCTGTTGCTAAGGCAATACTGAAAGACTGGATTTCGTTTTTTGGATGCCCATCAGTAATAACGACAGATTGCAGTCCCCAGTTTCAAGCAACACTGTTCAAAGAATTTGTGAATCTTCTTGGAGCGAGACATATCTCTACTACAGCATATCACCCCTGTGCTAATGGCCTTGTTGAACGTTTCCACCGTCAATTAAAGGCCACGTTAACTAGTTCCAACAGTGATAATTATCAATCCTGGATGGATAATTCACCTCTAGTCATGTTTTCGCTTCAGTCTCAATTGAAAGAAGACTTACAGTGTTCACCTGCTGACCTTGTTTTTGGCCAACCATTAGTGTTGCCAGGACAATTTCTGTCCAGAAACCCAGCCTCACAACCTTCCTCAGCCTTTGTTCAATACCTACAGGATAGAATGTCTACCTTGGCATTTACACCCACTCGTTTCCAGACTAAAGACATTTATGTTCCTACCTTTTTAAATAAGTGTGATTTTGTGTTCATATGACAAGATTCTGTCAAGAACCCACTGACACCCAGCTACTCAGGTCCGTTTTGAGTCCTTGCTCAACATGACAAATTCTACCCTATTCAGCTCACCAGTGGTCAATCGAATGCCTCAAGCCAGCATACATTGAGCGGAATATTGAACCAGCCCAAACATCGTCATCACCAGCACCACTGAGTAGTACACAACAAACATCTGAGACACCTGAACACCAAATTACCAAAAAAGGAAGGAGGGTCCACTGGCCTTCAAAATTCAAACATTATATGACATATTAAAAAAAATGCTTACACCACTTTTTTCAATCTGTGGTGGGGTGGTTGTAGTGACTGCTATGCTTTTCCACGCCCACAATTTATTCATCTGTGATTGGCTAGTAAATCAATACTACTTTTCTATAACACAATTTAGCAATTGCAGTCATCACTTTGAATTTTTCAGTCGTAAACTTGCTCACATGTTTCTTTGATACAAAATCAGTAATTGGTCAAATTTTAACCAATGAAACATTTTAATACTAAATCAATTTTTTCTGCGTTTTCGCTTAGAGCCTACCGGTACCTTTAAAAGAAGCAATATTTCAAATGCACATACAGACACAGATTTTTGCAACACATTATACATATCTCTCTCTGTGACTCAGCCAAGTTCATGATCCAGAACTCTATTAATTTCTCTAAACAACACATTTCTTAATTAACTGTATTCTAACAGCAAACTCTATTCAACATAGAATCCTGAACATTTTTATTCAAGAGAAACTCTTTCGAACATTCAATCATAAATCAGAATACAGTTGAAGGGGAACAACTTTTTTTCCTTAATCATTACACTTCATTGCATGATTGTTTTGTATGTTAAATTTCAATATATATTTATTTGTTGATCCAC